AATTTGGATAAGTTGGAATTCCAGAAGATCCCCTTCCATCCCCCTGACATTTGTACAATTTGTCATGTATATAAACAAAGCAATATGAAACGCATCTACGTGCTTTAAAATGCCTCTCATAAACCCCTCTTTCTTCAAACAACATTTGTGTGACAACCCACACCATCTATTTCGATAAAAGTTTGGGAAGAATTCAGCGTTTGTGCTTTCGGAAGTCTCGCTTCAAACGTAACTACATATCCAAAATCTTTCGAACTCCGAAATTTAAGTTGCTTTCATCCTAGTCGAGGATATTTTTGTGCTGCATATGAATATCTACATAAGCTTTAGAGTCTTGTGTAGAAACGAGCCAACAAAGAAAGTCAGAAAGGGGCCGGAAGACGGTCCCCGGATTCAACCGCGAACCAGACGCCCGCTATGTCAAAACCTTTCCCACTGGTTCATGGAGTCATGGCTCACCGTTGGTGCAAACCTCAGCTTTTCGGCTAAACCACGTGTAGAGCAGCCCTACGTTTAAGTATGCATCACGTGACTCGGACCAGTCAGTCATCTGCTAGAGTTCGGCTTGCGCTTGAAGCGACCACCCCCAGGCTGTATGCCTTTAACAAATTATGTCTAGGTTGCAATAACTATTTAACACCGGTTTTGCTCCACAGTTGTTTTGGTCTGTATCTGCCTTTACGTAGGTACCCTGACTTCGTGCAGTCCCAGGTGTTCGCGACTGGCGACTGTTGTGTTAGCCTTAATAGCAGTACTGCTATGAATAATCCTCATAGTACGAGACCCGTATGCTGCAAAAGCAGTATGAATCACGCCGCTGCGGTGTAGACTGCCATCGGCAGAAAATATGACGTCACACTGACACTGTATTTGAGAAGGCTTGGCGAAAGCCAAGTGAATATTCTTATCTCCCATGTTGAATGGTTGGGACGGGGGTGAGTTTGAAGCCTAATTTCACTAAGTTCTGTGTTGGCGCTTTGCTGATGGAGCATAACAAAACATGCGGCGAAATCAATTTCGCAATTTAGCGTGACTTGCTTCTCTGAAAATTCCAAAATACGAAGGACTGCTCCATCTGCATTTTGATCGACCTTGAGAAAATTCTCGCGAGAATGCTTTGATATCAGAGGTTTATTAAGAAGTTTTAAGCGGCGCGCTTAGTATTCGCACAATGGAGCTGAAATTTCGAAAATCATGACGTGTCCCCGATGGACTGAAGCAATCGGGCAATTTAATTGATAGTAACAGTCCAAATTTGTAAGCCACATTTAGGCATCCCGGGGCCTCAGCGATGCGGGGAAACTATCCCAAAAGACTTGTCATCTAGAGGCATAGTCGCTCCAGTGAGCAAGGAAATTTGGTGAGCTGCAAAAATATGAAGATAGATGGGGACGGTTTTTGGTTTGAGCAGATGCGCAACAAAACGCAACGTGTTGAGGCGGGAAGTTTTGCTCCACTCGCAAAGGTTTTGCAGCTGGGAGCATTGTGCGAATAATGTGCACACAAAATTGGCTAGAATGCATCTCTATTTTGAACCACTGAACTTAAAGTGTTAGACGACAGCTTCTTGGATATCCGCGTACACCACAAGAGATGCCCCCAAGAGGGATATGAAGTCAGAAACAAGGCCTCCAATAATCACCCACATCCAAAATTTTCGGTGGGCATATAATTAAAAAGTGGTTTCCGGGACAGAAAGGACGCCCATTGCGAAACGATCTGAAACTTGTTGCTGTTGAAAAAATCGGTCACAAAATGAAGACGCACTCAAGGCATTATCCAGCGGAATAAAGCCATTTTGACTATCAGAAGTTAGTCTCTGCAGGTTAATAACCAGGCAAGGCAAAACAATACCAGACGGCACATTGGATGCTATGACTACTAGGCTGATACCAAGATGGTTTTAGAGTCGTGTTTCGCGCTTGTTTCATGGGTGAAAATTAGGCTCAGAATGTTCGACTATACCGGTACCCAGATAGCGTTTTAAATCTACCGTACTGTGGTCTTACAACGGCTTCACCAATATCTTTGATAGTTGGGGCAGATTGACTTTAAAGAAACTTCACTGCTGTGTGGACTGTTGCCATATGTGAAGGCGGTGAACTTGTCTCATTCAGATTTATTCTGTTCTTCCGGATGCTATTTTATAGAAGCCAGTTAAAGGTTGTCATCCAACAATTGATCGGGAAAGAAACTACTGTTACCGACATTTCGAGGTTCACTGATCACCTGCCCATGGTTAGCAATAAGCCGATCGATCCCACCGACGCTTCGTGCAAAGTACTGGAAACAAATTGTTCCAAAACCTCTAATAGTTTTGTGCAAAAAACAATCCTCTTTTCAGGATTATTCCGTTTTTACCGGCAAATTAGCATTACCATGGGATTACGAACTCATCCCAGGTATCTGAGTCCTTCACATCTTACTTGTACAAAAATCAAACTGTAGAGCAGCAAAGACGATTACTGGAATGTATTACGGAATTTTTCTGCATCAGAAAATTTGGGTCAAGGTGAGCATAACTTACTCTTTCTCGCTGGCGTCTTTGAGATTCCCCAAGGTTATGGCTTTTCCAATATGGCTAAAAAACCGCCCAGATGTTGTTACAGACGTAACTCTTCTCTTTGCTAATGAGCATATTCTGTGACTCAGGCACCAGTAAGCCCCGATAAAAAGCCTGACGCTACACCGGCACCAACCCATTGACGGCAAAATGTTCAAGTATGTCGTTTATCCGAGTAGAAGGACACAGGATAATATGCAGACTGGATTCAAATAGTGCTGTATCTACTTTCCCCATATGTTTCTCTAACCATCATGACAAGACAGCATAGGGTATCACTACATCGTTATTAATGTGACCGAGTCCCCATACCCTCTACCAGGGCCCGCAGACATCAAGATGCTGTGTGGCGTACACGTTAAACCGTTGTGGATTACATCAGCTGGGGATTCCATTCTGGATTACAAATGGCTTACTACCATGTTGAACGTGTCAAAGGCACAAATCCTGGGGGTTCGGTGTGGACTACAAACGGCGTATAATCCCCGAAACCTGCTCGTGGTGCCTCAGTTCTAAGTGAAAGTGGCTTAGCCGTGCTTTTCTTCACTTCTTTCCCTAAGGGCAACCGGTGGAAACACGAAATAGAACAGTTCAGGTTATTGGAACACCCTCTCTTACGACTAAACTGCGAGTGCGTGGCGTAACTTAGTCCCGAGCGTTGTTACCGCCAGCAGTCAAACACCTTGGGGATTTTATGGAGTATGTCCGCGACCCTTCTAGTTTTCAAGGTCTTTGTTTAACACCACACTTCAACTTTCTTATACCCACAATGGGCCCGTTTGGCAATACTCCTCGGTGTACGCCGAGGACGAAGTTTGAAATGTAAGAGTAAAACACATGCTGTTTTTTAAACATGCAACGAATGCTTGGTAGCTTTTGAATGGTGGATGCTTCCGACGGAACTGTAAAAGCATTCGGCAACGATGCTGTGAGGAAACCGACTGAAGTCGATCAGCATGTAAGGGAGTGTACAGTTTACAGCACCTGCGATTGTAACATTCTAACAAATTTAATCATGTGCATATTTCTGTATAAAAAACAAGTAAGAAACTACCCATACAAGTACCAAATATTTATCCGAAAGCTTTAAGGCCGAATCTCTTGAGAGCTGAGTGAACAACCCAAAGATATGTGCGCCCATGGATAGTTGAGCATACGTTCAAATGCGGCCAAATCTTCATTACTGTATCGAAGGGCAGTGCAATCAGTTCAACACACTGAGAAAAAATGAACACCCCATTAACCTAATTTCATCTCAGCCCATGTAAATTTCCATCACGCGGAACGGGCACAAAATTTTACCCAAGGGAAATACCAATTGGGACCATAAAACGGTCTAACTCTCCTTCGCTGCGTGATGTGCCTCTAGCACTCTGTGAGCCCTTTTTCGACAGCATTATTACTACCTTGTGGACGATATGACGGTATGGATGGTGTTCTTCCCACCAGGCTATTTCTGAATGGGATGGTTGAGAGCTTTCCAGCACAGGTATACTTTATAATGTATTGTATCGCTCTTTTGCTTTCAACATAACATTACGTATTTTGTCATTTGTATAAAAGTTTTTTGTATGAATACGAAAAACTACAAAAAAACGCGCTTTTATACAATTTAACGCAACAGAAACGCGGTCACGTGCTCCGACTTTCTCTTCTGATTTCGCTTACCGCTTACAGCGGCACCAAAAGATTTCAAACTGTCTTTGGATTTTATTATATATGAGAACTGTTCAGAAAAAGACCGCTGGACAGCCATGATTGGATTATTGTTAACTCGCTGACCTGGGCCAACAAATGTTAGTGAGTCTGTTTCATCTGACCTCTTTATTATTGTATACTCAATCTAGTGTTATTATTTTTATTTCTTTGGCACACACTCCTAGTAAAGTAGCTTTTTGGGTAGCCAGCCACCACAAATTCACCTACGAAATGAAAGGTTGGTTGATTTCATCTACTCTCACCAGAGACACAGCACTGCAAGTGAGTAAGAAACCCTAGGAACAACCGTGAATAACTCGGGCAAAAGTGCGGCAGATCAAATCTTATGCGCATAAGTGGGACATTCTACGAACAGCAATGCTAGTCCGGTCGGTAGCGTAGCCTTTTTTCATCTCCGACCTTGTTTCATACCTTCGCTGAATATTCGGTTACCTGACCATGGGGAGCCAAGGGGTTTAATGCAGGCCTGTTCAAAATGCATCTTAGTCTTAGGGGTTCTACCAACACTCTCGTCAACGTTGCCCATCACGTCGGACAGGCATCTTCCCGTGTACAATTATTTAAGTTTTCAGAAAAATGAACAAACATACTCTGAAGCGTGTATGGTCGAAAGCTGCATAGTCAGCATTCAGTTGATAATGAACTTGTTCTCCTAAAGAATCGCATTGGTTTCATCTAAAGAACTTGCTGAGGGAAAATATTGTCATCTCTCACGATCCTAGTGCATTGACTCTGCATCAGCCCATGGGTTATACGAAGTGTTGCTGGATAAATTCGAGTAACCACTGCAAATCAATCGTATTCTGTCCGATTCGAAATTGTTCGCCACACTGTTTTGCCAGACTGGCATTGGAGACAAAAATGTCTGACTGAAGGCACGTGTGTCCACCGAAAGGGCCTCCAAACGTTCCTGAGTTTTGGTTTTGATTAAAGAAAGTCTTTCCAGGAATTGACGATAATCTTCCTCATCTTTTTCCGTAGTTTCGAACAGAAGAGCCATTTTGAGCTGAAAATTAAGAAACGAGAACTGCGGTAAATAAATAGTTTCTCGCGTTAACTTTTTGGGACTTCAACTGATTTTGCTTTTCGCTGCGGCGCAGCTAAGGAGGGGGCCTTTTGTAGCTCAACCTTTGCCTGAACAGCTCTCCCGGACAAGTGAATCTTAGAAAACTGTCCCGTGTGCAATCGCTTGTACTAGCACTTTGAGGTGTATTGCACCTAGAAATAAGTTGAATCGGCTGGATACCAAAACATTTGTGTGCGAACATGCAACACGGGTTCCTGGTCCGGAAACACAAGCGATAACAATTTGTAGTAGTTCCTTGAGTTCAGCAAGTTGAGTGCAAACATAACATACATTTTATTCCGATTAGGATGGGCAACGGTAAGGCTACAAATGAAGGGGAGGTGTTAGCTACCGGCTTTCCATCCGACTTGTGGGGAAATTTCCACCGAACGAAATTTAGTCAGAATTCACAGACGGTATATGACAATAGGCTCATTATTGTCACAACACAATAGTACGATGATGGCACCTTCAAAACTAGATCAGCTAATCAACTCTCATAACAGGTATTTGTGATTGGGATTGCCCCACGGTGCCGTCTTGTCTTGACTTGGCTTGTCAACGGGTTATATGGGACAAAACAAAAGGTTTGGTTGGGTTGGACACGCCAAAATAGCTGAATAAGTGAATGAATATGCAAGGACATGATTAAACAAATCGAGGTGATTGTTTCTAGATGGTGACCGAATAATTACAATCCATCAATACAAATTCATATTTTCATGCCAAAATCTCATTTCTTATCAGAATGCAGGTTTTAGCACAGTTCGATTCTTCCACAGTGTAAGTTCATACACTGTAGATGACTCAGAAACCTTGTCTGATGAGGGTCATATTGATTATCTGTAATGACGGAAAGTCAGTTTATCGTTTATTCACTAAATTGAAAATGTTTTTCTAGCCAAGTAGAGTGGCTACAAAGCTGGTTATCAGGAGCGAAAAAAGCATATGGTAGCAGGTGTCTTAGGAAAGGTTACACGAATATGATGCTTGTAATTTCCGTACATGGCTTGACGTTGTTGATAAACCTTTGAGTTGTACTACAGAGGCTTCCAAAAGTACCTGATATAAGGTCGCTCCCGTTAGAGGGGCGATTCTTTCTGAAAAGTAGATCCACACTTCGAAGAAATCAAAGGACAACGGTTTCTTGTGGGAGGAGTGTTGTGGACCGCGGTCTCCTTAATGCTTTCTTATTACCGTGAACCCAGGCCTGGATAGCCGACTGGTAGCCTGGTACGCTTGGCCACACCAGAAAAAGTCAATGAAAACGTGCGAACCGGCTGATCTGTTGATCACTGTCGCGTACAAGTGGGTCAAAAAAGTGATACTAAGAATACAGCCCGTCTGTCAAGGACGAGTGAAGAACAACCAATGAAATCTGTCTCAACGAAAACGGTTATTCCATTGGCTGTTATATAGTCCCGTTACGTTCGGAACTGGTTCTCCTAATAAGGAGACATCTTAGGCGTGTGTTCTCACTAGGTAACAGTAGTCTGTTTGTTCAGACCATCTCGCCATCCTATTTGAGTCCTTTCATATCCGGATAAAGAGTATATGAATAAACAACGGTTAGTTAAGTTTGTGAATTTTCAAGCAGAAAGTTTATTTGACCGTCAGTGATTTATCTTGCTCGAAAGGTTTTGGGACATTCACATCAATTTAAAAGTCACACGGCAATTCGCATAATCGCCAGATGTACTTTATCAGTCTCATCAAGACGCAAGACCTCCTTGGAGAGGCCGGTGAAGTCAGTTTTCGATGAGATCGTATCTTCTAGAAGAACTTGGTCATAAAATGAACTTTGAGTAACCAGTCGCAGTTAGTACCGTTTGAAGGCTATCTCCGTAATGGGACTGTCTTTTTCTGAGTAGGTCGTTAGTTTTGTCACGAACCGCTTTATTCTCTTTAGAATGGAAAAGCTCCACCTGATGCAGGGTTTGATTCTTTCGCATGTCATGCATATGTGAAAAAAACAATACGCACCATTCGTCGGTTTTTGGCGCTGCAATGATCGCGCAATGCCACAGCGGGAATCTCACGAAGGGGACCGCTACGAGAAAGAACAGTAACTCGCCTCTGATGGGGACATTAATACGCGATAATATTATCAATACTAATCATACTACACTCACCGTACTTTCCACGTAGTCGATACAACGCTAAAACAAGAGAGGATAGATTAGTCAAAACGCCACGAATTACCCAGTAGAGGCGCACATCCTCATAGTTGGTAAAGTCCGTTTTCTGCCATACATGATACAACTTCTGGAACCAATAGAAATCGGATGTTAGAGAACAGTTCTCACGCATTTATCTGGCTTGAATATGACAGTTTTTTAGCGCATCCTCCTGGAGGAGCACCTTTTAAGCATTGGACTTATTGAATCGAGAAGGTATTACACAGACAAAAGGCTGAAATCGGTACATAGGTCATCCAGCCATAACTTTGTCGACAGCGTACCATGCTAAGACACACAGAAAGGCAACGGAAGGGTCAATCGAAGAAAGAGTTTCACCAGAAAGGACCTTTTATCTGACTTGTACTTCAACAGTATTTGGAATCGATGAAGATGAAACGAGGGATGAGGTAAGCACGTATCATCCTACAGGTGGAGAACAATGTATCAAAATTCTACGAGAACAAACTTCACCTGGCAAGCTCTTTCCAGAAGGCGTTTCTCAACAAAGCATGGTATCCCATTATTTGTCTTTCCATCATACTTGCCAACAAAGTTTGAACCAGCTTCCAACTTCTTTAGCTACAATGAATGAAAGGACGTTGGTAAAGAAAAAAGTCCAACATTTCGGAGAAACAAATTTGGTCTCTTCATGTTCACCACTTAAATAAAACCAGCGAATTTGGTTCGATAGAAAAAAAAACTCTACTCAATTGACCTTGAGTTGTTCAGGGGTGGTTTTAGGATTTTCAGAGTTCACTTTCATATCACATGTTTATTGGATCAGTTCCACTCACTAGTGCACTTGTTCTGATGAGTCCACACCAAACGGGGAAAGTACTGCACACGAGTTCCGCTCTAATTAGAGCTTATCAATGGTGCTGAAGTTTGGTCGTGTCAGCGTTTACCTCCGGACCCCTGACATGATAGGCGAGCATGTTACCGCCAGTCTATCAGTGAACACTGGATGCAATTAACTGTTCAAGTCTGAACAAACGATTGCGTTCTTGCTGGTGAGATGCGACTGTTCTATCCGACGGGTTGAACGACAACCCAGTGGCTGTGTTGATATCTCTCTGTTGGACATTTTTTATTATTTGTAGGTAACTACGGAATTTGTAGATTTCTTGATCACTCTTGCCGCAACTGTGGTCGGGGATCCATATCAAAAGCTAGTCTTCTACCGAGAATGCCTAATCAAACCTCTCTGATGGTTGTCCTATAGGAACTACAAATTGGTTATTTCCAAACTTGTTTATTGAGATGACGGCGTTTTTTGGGAGAGATCGAAGATCGGAAAAACTGATCCTCTCTAAAAGTGACAATTTCACTGTTATCAATCGAAATACGAGGGTACAACCTGTCTTGAGGAGACTTTGAGGAGACTGTCAATTATTGCGCTTGACGTTGAAAGTGAGAAATTTCGAGATGGTGGGATGAAACAGTTATCGAGTTTTTAATCATTTAACTGATTAACCGTTTGATTGTAAACTAATTGATTAATTAACTAACTAATTGCCCCGAGACCTTTAAAACCCTTGATATATATTTTGGGGCATGACATCAAATCGACAAAGATGGATATATGTAGCATCTCTTGTAGACTGAACAGTCAACAATACCTTTGGGTAAAGTCTGGCTGTCCCGTATCCCCTGTCTTGCGGATCACCCCTTGTTACAAAGAGTAGAGCCGAGCCCGTAAACAAAACCCTTGGGCGCTGGAGATATCAATTATTAGGTTGTCTCAACTTCACAGTCACCATCTAGATCCTATAACACTTCAAGGGTAAGCATCTACTCACGCCAAAAATGTGAGGACAGGATGCACTTTATGGTCATCATCGAAAAGGTTGTGCATGAGTAAACCTCTAAAACGTCCTTTGAAAACCAAAAAATCATCATTGTTCACCTGGAGAATAATAGTAATACTGCTAGCAATAGTAGACACTTTTTGGTTCCTCTGAAGGGCGACTATTCAAATATAGTTTGACTCACCTGGAGTCCTGATGTCATCGTTATGACTACCAGGGTGTTAAACTTGCATTAGACCAGAGGAGCTTCATCTAAAATCAGTGAGCATTACAGTTTTCTACGCTATGAAGTTATCAGGAAGGTCAGATTCCTGAAAGCAACCACTGAATGCCCGAAATCTACTGAGGCACTCAGCTCCGCTGAGGGTTGACCAGACAGACAACGTCCCCTCAGTATGCAGCGCTTCACAGCCTGGTATCAAACCCAGGCAGCGAGAGTCAGCGTTGATCAAGGTCAGACAACGCGTCCGCAATACACAGTGTGTCGCAGCATCGTACCAAAGCCATACTGCGTGCGTCAGCACTGGACCAAGTTAGACAGCGTCCATCCAATAACTAGCTTGAGACCGTTGTACTTCCGTACTCGCATGCAGTCACGCTCTCGCACACGCTTGTTCGGAATATAGCGGTTGTGTTCCCTTCTGTGAGTCTTTTTTCTGGCACCAGGTACTGGAGCGGGTCAGCAGTCAGACACAGCCGCAGGAACCATCCATCAACATCAAGTGCGGTGGCTCGACCAAAACGTCGTCCACCGGGACAAGTGTTGTTCTTTATGTTTCCTTCATAATGGTTCAAACTGTGAGGTGGACGATGTACGACTTGGTAGAATGGTGTAAAGAAGATTGCAAAATGCTTAGCTGCTTTTGGTGCAGCCATCATGCAGGACTTGGCCCTTGTGACCCCCATGAACCTGGTTGAAAACTATCAGGAAGGTCAGATTCCTGAAAGCAGCCTCAGAACGCCCGGAACCTACTGCTCCACCAAAATCTCAACAGGAAAGCCGGCAAGCATTCAGGCCAGTCAATCTTTCAATCAATTCAGTAAAAGCTGATGAGTGTTCACGCACGCCACAAAAGCACAACCGAATGTGATCAGCGTTCAGGTATGTCATAGAGGCATGATCGATGTTGACGGGTGTTAACTAACGCTTATCAGACAGCCTGGATCAATGTCAAAGTCCCCTTAAATAGAGTGGGGCCGTTGTCACTTTTGCTCTCGCACTCGCATGCACTAAAGCTCTCGCGCTCGTTTGTTCGGAATATAGCGGTTGTGTTCCCTTCTGTGAGTCTTTTTTCTCCGGCATTAGGCACTGGAGCGGGTCAGCAGCAGATACCACAGATTGACAAGTCAGCAGATATAACAAAAACTTTTCAAGAAATGGCGGCCGATCAATGTCGGTAGAAGTAGTGCCGTGCGTTTTCAGGTTATCTGATTGGGTGTCTAGAGGTGTGGACCCTCAGAGTGCTTGTGATGGACCAACCAAAGATCCCTCTCTCTTCTTTGTACTGTAGTGCTTTAGATATAACTGGACAAACCTTATGATTGTAGGGCAGTGAAGGATCAGTGTCTTTGATCAGGATAACATTCTGCACAAAATTCCTCTCGTCATATGTATGCATATGGAAAAGCTGGATTTAAACGGGCAGTTGGAACTTTCTTGACATGTACGATTCACCAACAGGGCTTGAAATGGTCACCGGAAGTGACAGGTATAATGCGAACCTTGAAGAGTACATAACATTGAATTCCGGCTTCTTGAACCTCTATACAACCTTTGTACATTTAGGACAGTGTGAAGCAACGGCACTAGACATTCATCTTCATTGTGATCTGGTCTACATCGTTTTGACTACAAAAACCTTTCTGCCGTTTTCCATACGTCGTCCCAAGTCATACTGTTTTAAGTTCGTAGAACTGAAGGTGAAGAGAGTGGCTGTCCATTCCAATCTCTGTTATGTTTGTACGCTAACTGGTTAGCAGTGGAGCTCCATAAGAATTGTGCTAATATAGGGGGTTGGTTGGAAGCCGAGAAGCACCGCATAGCTATTTCAGTCTTATTGGGAATCATCGGCAACGTGCATCTCATGGAACTCAAGGGAGTTAAAGCCCATGACCTCCCAGCTACTAGTTTGGACAATTAGTCGTTCGGCTATGAGTGACTAACCAGTGAAGCGATTCGTTCGCACTTGGACGGGATACAGCGCTGTGAGACTTGGCCTATCCGAGCAGTGGAACTGAAACGTCTTCAGGTGTTCGACAATCACTGTCTCAGAACCATAGCTCGTGAGGTTTGGTGTCCGTGAATCCGTAACGAGGCAGTTAGAAAGCGCGTTTTCGGTTGTGCAACGGGTACTTCTATTGAAGAATGTG